TCGATTGATTTTTGACGAATGATGGGCACCCTTGCAGAGGCTCAGCCTGCAGTGGCCGTACGCAAGGCGAGTGATGAGGTTGGGTTGTTTCCGGCGTTGCCGGGTCGGGGTAGTTGGGTGAGATTGGAGGAGTGGGTTGCGTTTTTGCTACTTTGCTACGCAGGCGTCGTGGACGCGCTTACGGAGCACGGTCGTCGTCGGTCATTATTGCGACTTCCGTTCACTGCGGCGCATCGTCATGGCCATCGCATCGCATCGCATCGCATCGCATCGCATCGACCGAACGAGCTCGAGCGATGTCGAGGCCGGCAGGCTTAGTACTTGAGAATGATGTACAGAGCGTGGATGATGCCGGGAATGTAACCTGAGTGAGTGTGTTAGTGAGGTGCTGCCACTACTGTTGCAAGACGAGGCCGACGAGAGGCAGCGTGGACGTACCGAGAATGGTCAACAGAATGTTGATGAGGAGATCAGCTCCGCAGCCACGCTCGAGGAAGACACCGACGGGGGGCAGGATGATGGCAAGAAGAATCTTGCAAATGTCAGAGGCGGTGAAAGGCATGTTGACTGTTGTTGATGGGACACGAGGTCGGTGTGATAGATGGGTATTGTGTAAGAGTGGTGAGCACAGTCGGTTGAAGCTTTGTTGATGGAGAGAAGGCACTGTCGGGAGTGATGGAGGGGAGGGGAGAGGGAACAACTTAAATAACGTCTGACGAGGACGAGAGAGGGAGCCGTGTACATGGTACCTTGGTGCCTGCCCACCTCTGGACTCTCTCTGTGCCCAGCGTACACGAATAAAGTCCGGCAGGACCAGTTCGTCCAAGTGACGGATGTGATGTGGACGCGCATGAGCCAGAGAGCTAAAGGAGCCTAAGGGTAGACCCAGCCTCCGGTAGGCAAAGCCATCCCCCCATGCCATGCCTTCCCCGTCGAATCCGTCTCGCCCACACACCCCTGCGAGGCCGCCCCGTCCGGCGCTGTCAGGAGGGCAGGAACGAGGAGCGAACTGCACCACCCAATGTGCGTCATCGACTCCTTCCAGGTTTGCACCCATTGCACGACTGACCACCACCACCACTACCATACCAGCCCACCTGTAACTGTACTGGACCTAGGTACATTATCTAGGTACCGCAGGAAAGAAACTCCCAGCGCCCCTCGTTCTCAGCCAAGCCCGAGCCGTCCACCTCAGGCCTTGCATGTGTATGTGGCCGCCCCCTCAGTTGCGCGTCGCGCCAAGCGGCCTACCTAGGTCATGTTCTACTGTATCTGCGCCGACGACAAGCTGCTTCCCTTCGATCGCCAGCACAAGCAGCACAAAACTCGCAGAGGCCAGTGCACCAGCCGCCGGCCGGCCAGCCAGCCAGCCAGCTAGGCCAGCCAACAGGTCAGAGCGGGTTCCGGCCGGCCAAGGCGAAGTAGCAGCACCCCACCCCATCTCAAGACCCATGATCCATTCATGCTGGTCCCCCAAATTGATTGCCCAGCACTACGTCATCTGCCGAAATCCCAGCTGGGCGACTACCGGCATTCTAACTGGTCCACTTCCACCGTCAACCGAAGCCCTGTCAACTGACAGAGGCGTACCTAGATTACATGTACAACAGCCCACCTCCGTGCGCCACAGGACGCTCGTCGCCGCGCCACACAAACTCCATTTTCAAGGCGCAATGATGACGCTCAGCCACATCTGCCAGTCAGGAACCTTGTCAACGAGATGTGATCGATGGCAAGGCGCGCAGGAAGGATGAGCCAGCCGTCTCGCAAATTGTGGGTAAATCCAAAAGGACCGGAATCTGTGGTTTTCCCTTACTCGAAACGCCTTGCTTGGCTTTTCACTGCGTTAATGTCGGTCTCGCCGCAAATATGACGACAGGACAACACTGGCATGGGCACACGGCGCCTGCTTGCCGCGCGCTGCCCCCCCCCCCCTCTCCCCCTGGTTCAGTATACGCGGCCTGCTCCGCTTCCTGATCGAGGCCGGCCGCCCGCTCCATCGCATCAAGATGAGCACAAGCGAGAGCTGGTCCGTAAATAGGGCTGAACATGATGTGGTGCCGCGCTTCGACGCCAGCATGGCATCATCATATAGCCCCGTAACGCCGCTTTGATGTTTCGCCGCACACCAGCCCACACACCGTAAACACAGACTTGTCCACACCCCCCGAGGCAGGACAGCGCCGAATGATGTGTGCGCGCCCAGATTCGGATGCCCCAAGATCTAGCCCCTCAGCCCCTCGTGCCTGTCCGTACCTGACTCGTCAGTGGCTTCGTTGCAATTCACAGGGCCAAGCCTAAAAACAGGCACATCCAAGCCGCTACGACGACGATTCCGTGCACGGCCGTCCAGACCTAGTGTGTAATTTGCGTCTACTGTTTGCTGGTCTGTACAGGGAAGCCCGAGTCTTGGTGTATCGGGTGCTTGGCACTCTGGAGCCGAGGCTCCGGTCTCATGTTCACCACATCAAACATGCCAACATATGGCTGGTAGCCAGCATCGCAGGAAACCTCTCTCGTAGCACATGCTTGCCAAGCCCTGTCGTCACCTCCCGTCTCTTTGCGTCTGTCTTTCTCTCTATATCATTCCCCGCCGTACGTGTGATGGTACATGACCCATGGCCGATACGATCATCGACTCTGCCGTGGGGGATTTTCGTTTGTTAGGGGTGTGAGAGTGCGGCGTCGGCGGTGGAGGCGGTCGCAGTCCCCCCCCCCCCCCCCCTTTGCGCCTTTGCGCCTTGTCTCTGCTCTACTCTTCCTTGTCGGCCCGCTCCACGCGGCTGAACATTCTCTTGCCAAACAGCAGGAACCCACCCGTGACCTTGCCGGCCACGTAGCCCGCGTACAGGCCGTAAAGAATGGTGACGGGCCACTTCTGCCACTCGCGGTCCCAGTCGAGAGGGATGGGGACGGCACCGAGCCAGGCGCCGAAGAGCGCGCCGGCGAGGCCGCCCAAGGTCTCGTCCCAAGGGGCCATGGCCGAGCCGATGGCGAGCCAGGCGCTGGCCTCGACGCCGTGGACGTAGAACAGGGGGAAAAGGCGAGGAGGCGAGGTTCGTCGACAGCAGGAACGTGTGC